TCTCACACACACACACACACACACACACACACACACGCACACTCACTCATTCACTCACACACTGTTTCCAGACTCACCATGTATTTCTGTCTGCTATACCAGCTCAAGGTTCTAAAGGAGCAGAAAAAGTCCCAGGACTCAGAGGCTCAGCTGTCTCTGCTACAGAAACAGTGGGGAGTCCTCGACCGTTTTGCCACCAACGCTGCCAGGGGAAGCCAGGTGAGATGTGTAGGCTACTATAGCTTGTTCACTTTTGTCGCTGTTAAAACAGGATGATAAAAATAAATTTCTCAACATAATACTCCTAGGTCGTTGCATGCAGGTCTAAAAGTTGGATGACCAACAGAATGTAGAAGTCCATCAGTGAAGGTGACTGCAAGCTAAGGTCCCGCCATCTTTTTTGAACAAATATTTTTCTATGGTTGCTGGCCTGCAGAAGTGACATGCAAAATTACATGCACATTGTCGAAGTAATAAATGAGCTGGAAAATTTTTGAAGCAGACAGATGAAAGTGAACGAGCTACAGTGGAGGCAAGGTGAGATGTATACTAACGGACCTGCCAACTGCTCCGATTTTATCGTAATTGCTCCAATAATTTTATCATTTTGAATGACTCCAATGGAATATGCAGAACTCCAATTTTTTTCCCAAGCCAAGAAGATTCGGCCTAACGCTGATCGGATTTCTCGAAGATTCAGAAAATGGGTCAGGAAAACCCTTAACCCGTCACCCGCTTACGCTGTTGATCGACAGCACACAACACGCAAACCGAGTAACGCGCCAGCTGTAGATCTACGACACACAGCCCGGAGCGGGAACCGCCCACACTGTATAATTTAATTATGTACGCAGATGGCCTCGACCTCTACTATGGAAAACTTTTGTCCACAAACTTTGATGGGTCAGGTTTAAAAACAATAGCCAATCAGATTCCAGCTTTTATTTTGGGGAGAGTGTGCCTGATTACGTTGTTACGAGCAACGAAAGTGACGCTATGGCAACAAAGAAGTCCATGGGTGTCACTCGTTTACAAACACTCAGGCCTGGCAACAGGTCCGAAGTCAATGGTCTCTTCCTGTTGACCTACATAGCGCCTTAGTTAAGAATGACTTTTTTTTGTTATACTTCAAAGTAAACACTTAATTGGGGAATATGTGTCACGGCGTAATGGAATCAATTTTCGGGCATGTGGAGTAATTGGTATTATCTTAAATGTTATTCATTTGTCCCCTGCTTTTGAGGAAATTAACGTCCATTTATCTGGAATGAAAGTCGCAATTTTTGCGATTGAAGGAGGTGGGGGTCGCCTGGTTTCAGAATAAAAACTAGCGTGAAATGGCCATCAAAGTTTGGTGACTTCCATTGCTTAAGAGTCTTTGGAAACTGCAAATAAAAATTTTTTTTGCCCTTAATCAACTTTTTTCAATAAAGTCCACACTTAAAAGTGTTTTTTAATGGACATACAAGATGTTGAGTAAAAAAACATATTTTCGAAAAAATTTTCAAACTGGCCGAAAAATGCCGATTTCTCGGAATATAATATTTTGACCACAGCGCCGAATCAGCGGTCGTTTAGTTTCGCCAGGCCGTACGCTACTAGGTCAGCGTGACCGGGGTCAGCTGCCGGTCAGTCTACCTGCGCTCACTCCACGTGCGGAGTTACATACCATGGCAATTTTACACACTTTTATTTCAACGCTCACGAATGAAAGCAGGGTTATCAATATACACATAGTGTTCCATCTTTTGAGTTTCTTCTTTCAATGTACAGTTTGTGAAAACGGAACGAAGATATCTAGTATAGTTTTTTAACTGCATGTGATCAAATACAGCCGTTTTATATGTGGTAATTAAGGTAATATGAACCGAATTAAAAGATATGTAACTACCAAAGCGCGGGAATAAATTTACTAAAACTCACTCGGAATAAAGACAATTAATGTGGGTATCTACTTACCAAAGGACATCATTGTTGGAAGATTAGTAATCCACATTTTTGCATTTTCGTTCAACAGCCAAATTCGTCGGGCTTGTGATGAAATTCTCATTACAGTATCCATCATTAAATTAATGACACAGATCTCTTTACACATTTTGTACAGTAGATCTATACGCTTATCTATGGCGCCGTGGTTGTTTTCTCAGTGCCTGCAGTGAAGGTGCTCTCTGGAGCAAATTAATGTGCGTTCATAACGTATCGTAGTTTTTCCGTATTGTTTACGATGCCTTGAACCCACTTTTCAATTTTTAAAATAGACTGGTGGCAGCTTTCGGTTCCTTTTCTCCCAGCGGGCCCAAGCCAAAGCCGTGTTGTGTTATGGATGAAATGCAGTGTTGTTCTAAATTGCACTGTTTGGGGTTTTTCTTAGTTGGAAAATGTCTTCTGTACAGCTTCATGTACGTGTCTATTGCTGTCTGAATTCCTGGAATAGAAGTTTTCGGAATAGTTCTACTGTGTGAGATGTCATTATGAATTTGACCACTGTATGCTTGGTTGAGAGAGTCGAAAATCAAACTTATAGAGTGCGCTTTGTCAACAATGATGGGATGATAAAATATCCCTTGGCAGTGACTCATATGTCCTAGCCTTTCTTATCAGCCTCTGTTGTACTTTAGTCACGTTCTTACTCCCGCAAACGCGACAAAGTTCATTCAGGGAGGAGGAACGTCTCCCGTGTGTGTGTTCCATAGAGGGAGATTTCAGTAAACCTGTTAGAAGTGAATCACGGGCAAATGGATTCTACCTCATATCGTAACACGGCTCAATCAACAAAGATGAATTGTATACACATTAAGCACAAATATGTCTGCCTTTCATAGAAACAACAATCTATGAAATTAACGAAGAAGTGTTGAACTTAAAACAGCATAGAATCCAGAATAGGCAATTGCTCAGGTCAATTAACAAGGCACTGGATGAGAATCAGATGTAAGCGACTTAATATTGCAAGAACTATTCTTCAAACAATAATGAAAATTATACACGTACAGCACAAATATGTCATCAGTGCATGTACCAAAATTTGTTGAGATTGAGCGAGCACTTTGGAAATTAAAAGTGAATTAAGTGCAGCGCACACATTAAATTCGATGAAATTCAGAACATCTTGCACACACTGTGACATCGGCACTTATCGTCGCATTGAGATCAGGTTTTCGCAGACTGAGAGGGGGAATCTTGTTCTTTTCTTATAGTATGGAATACTTCGTGGTTAGAGTGAGGATACTGCCGATAATTAGTGTCAGAAGTGTCGATTACGACATATCCTGCCTGCCTGTAGCTGATGTGCAACGGAGCGGCCAGTGACCCCCGCGTAACCCGGTTCCGACGGTGATTTAATGACTTCCAGATGTCGGTGGCCTGGGAAACTAAGAGGCATGATTTCGGCCAGTTTTCGGGGCTGTGTGACGAGCGCCTGATTTCACCAAGATGCCTCACATATGGAAATTAAGTTAGATGCTATTTTTTTCTCCAGACTCCGATTTTTTTCTGGTATGGGTTGGCAGGTCTTTACTAATGACAACATCATTGGCTAGCGAGTCAGATTTATACTAAAGCAATATCATTAACAAGTGGGTCAGATTTGTACAAATGGACTCATCATTTGTGAGGGAGATCAGATGTGTACTTATAGCAACATCATTAGCAAGTGGGTCAGATTTGTACAAATGGACTCATCATTTGTGAGGGAGATCAGATGTGTACTTATAGCAACATCATTAGCAAGTGGGTCAGATGTGTATTAATGGCCACTTCATTTTTGCAACAGGTCAGATGTGTACTAATGATAACATAAGTAGTTTTTGGATATTCCCATAATTATAAAATTAATGGAAAAAAGAATATGTGAGGCAGCCTGGTGAAATCAGGCACTTGTCAAAACAATCAAAGTGAAGAAACTGGCATTTTTCTGCAGGCTTGTGAATTTTTATCAAATTTTCGTTTTTTGGCTCTACACCTTTCTTGCCCATTAAAGAACACACATTTCTGTGTGGATGTTACTAAAAGACGTTGATTAAAGGCACAAAAAAAATGTAAAATTTCAGTTTCCACGGACCCTCAAGCTAAGGAAATAAATCATCTTTGTCAGTAATTTTACCTCTGAAACCAGTGAACCCCCACCTCCTTCATTTGCAAATATCTCGACCTCAAGATAAATGGGTATTTTTTTTCATCCAAAGCAAAACAAATGAACAAGCTTTAAGATGATACCAAATTTTGCCCAAAAATTGACGAGAGCCTGATTCCAGCGTGTCGTGACACATCTGGTAATGAATTCAGTAAGATTACAAAGACAAACTAAAATACAGTCTAACATGCACATAGTGAGCACCCAGATAGCAAAACACGCACGTAACGGACAGATATTCAGGTCCCAAATTTTTTCTGTTATGTATATTCTTTGTATTTAAAACACATACATAGCAAAAGGAGAATGCAGTGAAATAAGAAATAAGAGGTGTAATTGTTGGTGGAGTAAAACAAGCTAATGCCTCACAAAATAGATCTGCTGGATTGATAATAAGAATTAGCTTGTAAATAGATCATAAAGCGCATAAAGCTTGCTGTTGAGCAGGAATTTGTGCTATTCAAATGGTATTCATTATTATTATTATTAATAATATTATCATTATTATTATAATTTGTTATTTGTTATTATTTATTATTATTATCATTATCATTATTATTATTATTATTATTATTATTATTATTATTATTATTATTTTTATTATTTATTATTATTATTATTATTATTATTATTATTATTATTATTATTATTATTATTACTACGTATGGGCACTCTGCTAGCTCAGTTGGTATCATGCTGGAGAGACATAGGAGGATGATGCATGATGTCTTATTACTTGATCACTTGATGGTGATGCATTCCCACGGTTTGTGGTGCAGCGGTGAGCCGCTTGTTTTGTATAGAGCTGTCCCCATGGTTTTATGCACCCTGCATATTTTAGCAAAATCAGGTCTTTTTTTTCATAATTCCTGATTATTTTCTTTTATCATTCTTTGTTAAAATTCCACATTTTTTGGCTCAGTTTGCATAATTTCAGAATTTTTCTTTCATAAAACGACGGGGACAGATAGAGTATCTTGGTCTTTTCGCCCCCCAGCAGGCGGCAGGGGGGGGGGGGGGGGGGGCATAGTCTTACTATGGGGGAGCAAAGAATACACCTGTCGTGATACTGCTTATTTATTTTTTGTTCTTGGGAGACGGAGGAGCTTCTGTATCAGCAGGAACAATGAAGGACAGCGGACATCCAAACAGGACTCTCCTGACCCAAAGCCTTCTCTATCAAACAAGTCTCTCCGGATTGCGTCGTGGAATGTATGCATCATGTATGAAGCAGGAAAGAGTTCTCAAGTATTGATGTACAGAAAAGTGGGAAGACATGGAATAACATCAAGAGGCCAGCCCAGATTAGAGAAAGGTGGAAAGTGTTTGTTCGTGGCCTATACCCTGGTTCAGGGTGAGAAAGGCAATGATGATGAGATGGTGATTTTGGTCTTTCGGCCTCCTAAATGGTCAAAATTGTGTCAATAAGGGGGGGGGGGGGGGGGGACTGGATCGATAACAACGTGTCAATAAGGGGCGAAAAAAAAACCTACTTTTTGTTTTGGCTGGATTCTATAGTTTAACTCGTACACTTACCCTTATTTTTGTGTTTCTGCAGGATACAAATTCTGGCTTTAAGCTTGATGAGCAATACTTCAAAGGTGAGCTCGTGGATGGTTTGCAGCTGTTCTGGTGTGGTTTTCTCCTCCTTTCCTATCTAATATTCATCCTCCTTATATCTCTTCTTTCTTTTCTTTGTAAGTTACTTATAAGTAACACCTCTAAACTTCAGCGCTTATACGACCTATTTGTGTTGCAAGTGCCCTAATACTCTGACTAAACTTTTTTTCAAAAAGGAGAAAAAAAGGGTGAGCTCTTGTTATAGCCCTTATTTTCAATCTTGTTCAACTGTACTTTGACTGCCATTGTGCAGGTTGTCATTACCGTCTACTCTCATCTGTATTTTGGGGGGGGGGGGGGGGGGATGAGGGAGGGGGAGGGAGAGGGAGGGAGGAGGAGGGAGAAGGGGCTGGTGGTATCCTCCTCATGTGGGTCATTGGTGGGGGCTCTGGTGTGTGTGTTTTTTCTTCTAAAAAGTCTATCATCATTATCTCTCCTTTTTTTTTTGTATGTTACTCTCTGATAACTCCTCTAAAAAAAACCCGGGCGGTGCCACTGACTGAAGTGTCTTTAGGCCATTACCAAAGGGGGGACATTTCTCGTTCATGCATAGTAGAATTGTAAATGGGCTGATTCATCAATCTAACGCTCATAACTGTGCCTGATCTATAACAGGGAACTTCTGCTTTTTCTTTCCTAATCCTTACTATTGTCATTTTTCCTCTACTTATTTTGTATGTTTGTCACACTCTTGTGACCCGCTATTTCCGGGGTGCCTTGATAGTCGAAGCAGACTTTGTGCTGTTGAAGCTAGAGAGGTGAGCAGAGTAAGTCTGATTCCCTGTAAGGACTTCTCTGTTGACATTCACCTCTTGGCGCTCATATGACCTTATGCAGTTGCGAGCGTCGAAAAACCTCTACTTAACTAACTCCTCTAATCTTCGGCGCTTATATGACCTATTTGTGTTGCAAGTATCGTAAAACTCTTACTGGGTAAAAAAAAATCCTTTTTCCTTTCTGTTTAATGAAGAGTGGAAACATTTTTGTGGGAAAATGAACAGATCACAATGGCTTATTTCTACTCTCGATACTCGCTTCAGTTGTTTCCCCTTTGTTGAATTAATTCTGACCGGCATCTGTGGTGTAGCAGTTGGGAGCTACTTTCTCACACATAGGGAACCAGAGTTCAATTCCCGAGTGGAGAGAAATTTTTATGAGTATCTTGGTCTTTCTTCTGGGATCTTGTATCCCTCTAAGTCCAAATTGACAGGCTTCCTAAATGATCTTATATGTGTCGATTGCGTTGTAAAAATACCAACATAAAAAAAAAAAATGAATTGAAGAGCGTTGAAAGACAAGGTGTTATGAAAGGTAACGTTTTGTTTGGAGAAGCAGGGGTGACTTTTCACATTTTTGTCACTTCACTTTTGATCCTGCAGGCATGAAGGATTTTCTGCAGCACTTCCGAGACGTGGGCGAACAGCTTGATGCTGAGACGTTGGAAGTGAAAGAGAAAAGGGAAGAAATCGATGAGAAAATTCAACAAGTAGAGAGTAATCTCCAGGAAGTCCGAGGGAATAGAAGGAGGTCAACATGTATTCGGTGAGTTTGTGTGTGTTTGATTTTTGTGTGTGAATGTCTTGGGTGTGTGAATGTTGTGTGTGTGTTTGTGTGTCATGTGGGTTTGTATTTCGTAGGGTAGCAGCACAAATACTGTAACTTAAGTTTTTCAAATTTTACAGGAGCAAAAAGCTGGGTTTTTTTCCATATAATGTGTATTTTCGCAAAATATTCGCTTGACTCTTGAAATTTTTACGGAACATGCCCCTTGCCAGTGCCTTGGAATAATTCAAAAAGTGTGTGTGTATGTGTGTGTGTGTGTGTGTGTATGTGTGTGTGTGTGTGTGTGTGTGTGCAAGGATGTATGTGTGCGTGTGTGCATGCGTATGCATGCATGCATGGGTGTGTATGCGTGCGTGTGTATGTGTGTATGTAGAAGTGTGTTTGTATGGTGGCTGCGTTTGCACGTGTGTATGTAAGTGCATCTTTGTGTCTATTTGTGTGTTTGCAGAGAGTGCATCATTGTGCTGGAAGCAGAGGCAGAGACGGCCGTGCAGCTCAAGTTGTCCTACGTGGTGCTGAGTGCCAGCTGGGTACCCTCCTATGACCTACGTATGAATACAGAAGATGGAGTCCTCTCGGTAAATAAGAAATTTTGTGTTTGCCAAGAGGAAGATCACAGTTGTCGTAAATTTGGATATTGAAATAACGGCATCTTCTTGTAGCAGATTCAATGCTGAACTCGCTGATTTTTTTATTTTTCAAATACTTTGAGTAGTTTAAAAGATATTCCACATTTTGTAGCATAGGACGTTAAAACAAAGTTAGGAGATAAACCCAGTTTCTAACACATTTGAACCTTTGGCAAACTCCCCCCCAAAAAACAACGAGAAAAAAACAACTGAAGGTCACTGATGAGTTGTCTTCGTCTTTATGTGTGTCATGCGTGTCTCTGTGTGTGTCATTGATGTGTCATGCGCATCTCTGTGTGTCACTGATGTGTCTCTGTGTGTCACTGATATGTCTCTGTGTGTGTCACTGATGTGTCGCGGACGGTCGGCGGGTGCTCTGGTGTGGTTCACTCTTTCTTTCCTTTCAAACATCTATCCTCCTGGTCTCCCCTACTTCTTTTCAGTGTTTGCTACTCTCTTGTAACACATCTTATCTTCGGCTCTTATATGACCTTATTGTGTTGTATGTGCAGTAAAACTCATACAAAACTAAAACTGATGTGTCGTGCGTGTCTCTGCATGCCCAGGTGTCCTACTTTGGGCTCATCTCTCAGAACTCTGGCGAGGACTGGACGAATGTGAAGCTGCATCTGTCCACGGCCGAGCCCAGTGTAGGTGGGACCATCCCCATCTTGCCCCAGACGCAAGTCAACCTCTTTAAGTGAGTTATGTGTTTACTTATGCTGTGTCCTCCTTCCCCCCCTCCTCTTCTATTTCCTCTTTTCATCATTTTCCTTTCGTCAGTGGTTGGTGGATATTTTTATGTGATTTGCTCTTTTTTTTCCCCCTATCAAACATCTATTGTCCTTGTCTCTCTTCCATCTTTTCTTTTGTTTGTTAACTCTCCGGTAACACTCCTAATCTTGGGTACTGATATGACCTACTTGTGTTGCAAGTGTCGTAAAATTCTTACTAAAACTCAACTCCTCTTCCTTCTTGTTTTCATCCATCCTGTCCGCCTCTTTCTTCTCCGCCTCCTTATTGTCCTCCTCCGCCTCATTTTTGTCCTCCTCCCTTTTTTCTTCCTCCTTGTTCTTCTCCTCTTTTTCCTCTTCCTTCTCCTCCTTTATTTACAAATATTTTATTTGTACAAAAGTTGTTTCACTTTCGTCTTGTGACGAGAACAGCAAAGCTAGTCTCTCTTTTGTTTTATGTGCTTTGGAATGGGCATAACTTGTTTCTCATTTGTTTTATGTGCTATGGACTGGGCCTAGCTGGTCTTTCTTTTGTTTTATGTGCTATGGACTCGGCATACAGGAAAACAGCTAAATGTCCATAAACAGTTTGGGAAAATAACTCTAAAGGTAGACCATCAATGTAACCACCTCTCTTGCATGCATTGTTTAGACTGGTCAGCTTGACTTTGTCCTGCTGACTGGAAGCACAAAATGTATAAGCAGAGGTTTTTATGACAAAATGGCCCATCTGCAGTGTTCAAACTTCCACTTTTTAGTCAGATGACGAGCAGGATCTTTTTTGTTTATAAAGATATGTTTTTAGCACTTCTCCTACTGTGAGCCGCATTTTGCGGCTTGCGGATGTGGCCTCGCTTTACCAAGAGCCGCAAAATATGGCTGGAGTGGCTTACTATCTATTCTAATCCAATAAGGAAAAGGCAAGAAACTCTCAGCTGATCTATGTTTTCAAAATAATAGAATAGACTTCCTGTTTGCGGATATGAAAGACAATATAGCCCTGACGGACGATTTTTTGTCATTACAGCGCTTTTTTTCTGTCCTCTTCGAAACGTAAAACTGAAAAGAAAAGTGCTCCCCTGGCTTCAGTATATACCTCATATTTTCACTTCTATAATAGGTACACCTACATAACTTTCAGCATTTCTTTGCATTACTTTTGGCAACCTACCTGGGAAGTGTGAATGATACTGTTGTTATACTTTTTTAGTTATGACCTTTCAAAGCTGGAAAATTGGTGATTTCATATGACACCTCCGATATTGCATATTCACTTTTAGAAACTCTAAACTAATTAAACTAAAATAATTGGAATAAATCTCCAATATTGTACCACTATGTGATAGATTATTTTTTAACCTTCAGTTTGATGGGCCATATGATATGGTTTGTGTGTGTTTAGTTGGTTGTTTTGACATTTTCCTTTGGTGGGGTAGGGGCGTCAAAATAGGTCAGGGAAAAGCCCTGGGCCAGTGGTGGATTTTGGCTTGGTAGGAAAAGAGTTAAATGTATTTGTTTTTACACCGACACTGACACAATTTAGATCATTTAGGAAGCAGGCTTCCAACTTTTCTTATCAAGGTCAACCCAGGCTTAGAGGGATACAACATCCTCCCACTCGGAAATTGTGTGACAGCGAAGTGCCTAACTACTACACCAAAGACGCAGGGGGATTTTCATTCTTGACTGCTTTGAAATGTATGGTCACAATATGTGCTGTGCTCAATGGTTTTACTGTCTGCTAGCAGTTCAAATGTACTGAGCCCAAAGTTTTGAAATTTTTTATCATGTCAGTTTCTTTATCTGTGATTCTGGTTGCATATAATCCTCAAAAAATATTTTGTCGAAATTCTAATCATAAATATTGGACAAATTAAAAAAAAAACATATTGTGGGTACAACTGTTAAAAGGATGAGATGAACTGTTTTTTTCATGAGACGGTAAAGGTTACCTTAAGAGGAATTGTAATGTTGTTGTGACCCGCGATACCTTTCATGAGACGGTAAAGGTTACTTGCATGTCTGTGGCAGTAGTGGCCTAGTGGTTAAGCTCTTGGACTCACAACCTTATGGTTGTAAGGTTGTGGGTTCACAACCCGTCAAGGGCCCGACGTTGCGTCCTTGGAAATGGCTCTTTACTAGAATTTTCTTCACTTGACCCCGGTGGGAATGGATACTCGGCTGTTGTCATCAAAAGATCTCGTCAGTTTGTTTGTTAGTATTTGAACGCTTAATCAATTGCTTGCACTGTATGCCTCTTGGGAAGCCGAGAATGTTTCTGAGTGTTTTAGGATCTGATGGAGTAAAAATATAAATTATAAAAGTGCATAGAGCTTGCTGTCATGTGGGGATGTGGGTTATACAAATGATATTTATTATTAGTACCATTTTTACATAACTGTATTTTGAGGACATATTTTGCTGTTTCAAACAATCCTTGATTGTTGCCGGGCATGGATGCTGACCAGTCATACAGTCTGAGATGGATGTTAGATCGGCGGTCTTGCCAGTTTGAATACGATGTTCAGTTGGGGGAAGGGAGAAAGGGAGTCGTGCTTTTGTAATGCCCATCATAATATCCATCCACATCATATTGTCTTCTCTTGTAAAAGGGAGTCAGACCAGTTCAAAGCTCTTCTTTGTACAGCTCATGTTGTATTCTTTTATGAAATGGGGTAAGGTCCATACCATACACATGTTCAACATATTGTCTTGTCTTGTAAAAGGGAGATAAGCCCATACTATATATTTATGTTTATATTTAACATATTGTTTTCTCTTGTAAAATGGAGTGAGGTTCATACCGTATCCATGTTCAGCAGATCGTCTTCTCTTGTAAAAGGGAGATAGGCCCATACTATATCGATGTTAAACATATTGTCTTCTCTGGAATAGTTTGCTTCTTCTTTCCTATCAAACATCTATCGTCTTTATCTCCCCTCCTTCTTTTTTATGTTTGTTACTCTCTTGTTACACCTCTAATCTTTGGCACTTGTATGACCTTATTGTGTTGCAAGTGCTGTAAAACTCTTACTACAGCTAAAAACTAAAAGGGAGTAAGGTTTATACCATATCCATGTTCGACATATTGTCTTCTCTGGTTGTTGATATGCTCTGTGGTACTCGCGGTGACAAGTTTTCTCACCTTTGACCCTTTCAGACCTGTCGTGCATCTTAAGCCGAAGTCCAGTGGGTCTGTTTTGACATTCCGTTCCTCAGCCAGGTCAGCGTCCTCAACATCACAAGCTTATGATGACAGATTACAAAGACAAGCTTCCCCCATGTCTGCTGTACCTGTGAAAGTGTGTGGGTTCTCCCTGGGTTCTGACTCTACGGTCACTTCTGTCCCTGGCCTATGTTGTTACACAACGGTCAATCCTTTCCCTGGCCTATGTTGTAACTCTACGGTCACTTCTTTCCCTGACCTACTGACCTATGTTGTAACTCTACGGTCACTTCTTTCCCTGACCTACTGACCTATGTTGTAACTCTACGGTCACTTCTTTCCCTGACCTACTGACCTATGTTGTAACTCTACGGTCACCTCTTTCCCTGACCTACTGACCTATGTTGTTACTTTACGGTCACTTCTTTCCCTGACCTACTGACCTATGTTGTAACTCTACGGTCACTTCTTTCCCTGACCTACTGACCTATGTTGTTCCTTCTCTTCTTTTCTGCACATCTTTCACTCAAGGGTTAATTTTGATTTCTTTGCAGCAGGGGAAGAAGTCGCTAACTTCCTCTGTGTTAAAAATATCCCTAAAAAAAGATTTCATCGTTTTGACATGTGCCTGATTTCATCAAGGTGACACATGTAGCCCTCATCTGTGGGTGGTTGGTAGGTGCTCTGGTGTGGTTTGCTCCTTCTTTCCTGTCTAACATCTATCGTCCTTATCTGTCTTCCTTCTTTTTTTTTTGGTGTTTGTTACTCTCGTGTAACCCCTCTAATCTTCAGCACTTAATATGACCTTGTTGTGTTTGCAAGTGCCATTAAAACTCTCACAAAACCTGAAAGTTCTCATCTGACTGTCTGGGGTGGCTGGTGCTTTTTTGGCACTTCTGGAGCATGGGTTGTTGTTGGGTTATTGGTTTGAGGACGTCACTGGCATTGTTTTTTCCTGTATGTTACTTTCTGGCCAGGGCACTTTGTTAGCTCAGTTGATATCATGCTGGACTTCTCTCTATTCCTCCCCTTTTCTCCTCCTCCTCCTCCTCCTCCTCCTCCTTCTTCTTCTTCTTCCTGCTCGAAAAGGCGCCTTGAGCTTCTCAAAATTAAAATTTCATAATTATCCATTCCTTTATACTCTCTCTACACTAATAAATCTCACTTTCCTCTTATTGACCTACCATACAACCTATCATCATCTCTTGACCTGGTAGCGTTTGTTATCTCTAACAAATGTCACCAGAATGGACACTGAACCCACAATTTTGGAAAATTCTAGGTGACAAATAAAATGTTTGTTCCATTAGAATGGAATAGATAGTGCCAACCTCATAACTCAGTGGAGCAGAGAAAGGTAGGACTAACACTAACTTCACAAGAAACACTATTCTGAAGGTTAATAATAGTGTTGCTTTTTAAAAACTCTTTTAGGATCTTTTACTTCTAATCAAGAATTATGTTCTTTATTCACATTGATGCCGTAATACTATCAACCTCATCATTATCATCAGCAACATCGTCAGCATCACATCATTTTCAACACGGATGCAACGGTTTTCTACTATTTGCATAGGTGGAAGTATGTAGTATCCTGATATCATTGTGGTGTTCTTGAGAACAAGATTCTGATTACTTTTGTGAACTTCCTTTAAATATGTATGATTTCAGGCAGTCTTTAAGGAGGAAGTGTGCAGTGTACCAATGAAAAAACTAACCCTTTATCATAACCGTGTGTTCACTAGAGCTAACACATCGCCTACACAATATTATCTGATCAAATGGCATCCATCTGTTAGGATTGGGGAAGGGAAGAAAAAAAGATTATTATTCTTATTACTATTTTTATTTTTGTTGTTATTATTACTGTGCCTGCTGCTGCTGGCCCAAGTGTTTAGCCCACATATCTCCACTCCACACATATTTTTACTAGGACTATTGCAGAGGGCGGCCCGCCCAAGGGAGTCGTGCTTTTGTAATGCCCATCATAATATCCATCCACATCATATTGTCTTCTCTTGTAAAAGGGAGATAGGCCCATACTATATCGATGTTAAACATATTGTCTTCTCTGGAATAGTTTGCTTCTTCTTTCCTATCAAACA